TTAGACCCGGTACCTTTTTGTTCTTACGCAGTATTTTATATATGTTATTTTCAGGATAATCCGAAGTATCAAATTTACTGGAATCAGCTTTAATGATCTCCTCATATGCATCCTCACATTGCAATTCGTAGATAAAACTGTCTGTGTCCATGTACATGAGCTTACACCTTTCTGCACCCATTTTTGGTAGCATATAGGTGTAATGAAAATCGTACATGACTAGTTTCGATAGGTCTAGAATTGCCTGCCCTACATACAGAGGTTTGTTAAACGTTATTTCAGCCTTGTTCAATTCGATAACCACCAGATTTTCCTCTAAAATTGTGCGACTGTGGAACCGAAAACTCGAAATCAAGTTTGCTGCCCCATAGCGACCACCCCAAGATTTAACGATTTTACATACGCGGTGCTTACGTATATTTTCCATGGTCTTACCGAATACTGCATTATTCATTAATTTAAAAAGATTTTTTTCGAAATCATTCCGGGCTGCAGCTCTACATCGAGTATTCAACTCGATGTAGGGTTTCAGCCAGGCTGCTTGTTTAAATTGTAAAATTTTATGGATTTTCGTTAACTTTAACCCATTAGCTAGCATTTGTTTTAAATTTTTATAGTGAACCGTGTACTCTTTTTTATCCGTAAGTGTTGCCATTAATTTCGGCAATTTTACCCCGCCGTCGCTGGGTGGTACGCTACGTTCTGCCGCAAACGGAAAATCTTTGTGTTTATCGTGCAGTTCTTGTGGGTACGATAGATCGACTTGTAGCACGTACCCTACGTCAGAGTCGTCGGGTATTGACATCACATCAAACGATGTTACATCATCTACCCATTTGAACCCTCCGTAGGGTAAGGGTTGCTGCATAGCATTCCCATATAAGCTATTCACATCCAGGTACATAAGGTACTTGGACGGCTTTTCAGGATCATATTCGGGCATATATTTATTGTTGGCTTCCGAAAATCGGTTGCTACACACCGAAATTCCACCTCTTATAGCATTTTCGTAAAACATCACCATATCTAGATCCTTTAGTAGTTCTAACTTACACCCAGTGTATTTGAGCATACAGTCCCACGTATATCCGGGCATTGTATAGTACCACGCAGGATCCAGACCATAGGTGGAGAAACATTTTTTACGCAATTGCTCAAAAACGTCGGCAAGAAGCAGAATATCTGTTTTTAAATATATATCAGAATACTCTCCTAATGTTTTAATGTTAAACTGTTGCCAAACAGATTGCGCATGAGCATACTTCTCGTCACTTACACTTTCATCGTTTAATTTATTGTAAAATTTTTCAATTGGGGGCAAAGTCGTTTCATTTAATTTTTTCAACGAATCAATGTAATCGTAACAGAAAACTCCTTTCTGTGTTAATAATTTGAATTTATCTTCATCTAAATTTTGAAATTCCCTTTGTAAAATTTTCTTTTCTGATTCTGCTAAAATTGAAGCTAATTCATCAAGAGACGCCCCCATAAATCGAAAAGAGTCTATAAACCGCAATTTAATGTTATTTTCATCTGAGTGCAGCGTAAAGGAGATGTATTTATCTTTGTTGATGGGAAGTAGACTTAAGCGACCTTTTTTACATAAATTCGAAATCATAAAGTGACTATCGTACCCACTTAAATTATGGAATATAACCGGCACAACAAACAATTTTCTAAAGTTCAGATTGCATGCTTGGTGTGCGTAACCTCTGAACTCTCCACTGAAATGGTTGTGATCTCTAACGATTATGTCTTTTTTTGTTTTTGAAAATCTCTTACCGCAAATATGACATGATGTTGCCTTACATGTGTCTAATTTTTCAATCATAGGTACGCTTGTTTTTATTTTTGAGTTTACAAATTGCGCAACACCAGCCATACGATTTGCAAACCAATCCATACAATCTGCACCTCGATAGCTCTCGAAATAAGAAAGGCTATCATCATAGCTGCATTTTACATAGAAACCAGCACTATACGGAACGTGTTTTTGATATTTTATGGTTTTAGTTAAATTTACGACGCTACTTTCTTTATGATTTTCTAATTGACATTCAAAATCTGCATAAACAACAAAAGGAGTATTTTGTTGGTATGTAAAGTTTTTAAATTCAACGCAGCTCTCTTTAGGAAGGTTAATTTTATATTTATTAAATTTAGAACACAGTTTTTCATGTTCAACTAATTTATTTTGCTGATGGAAATAGTTCAGACATCTATCGCAAATAAATTTTTTCTCACGATGTTTATTTAACTGGCTACTAATAAGACGCGAAAGATTTTTAATCCAACAATAGTGATATTTAATTTCATCGATTGAATCATTATCTTCATTTGCTGGCGCTGGTGGAGGAGCATCATAATCATTTAAACGCGGATAATATTTATTTTGAGCTAAAAGTAAATTAACATGCGTATCCCGTTTATTTTCCGTTAATCTTGCTGGTACTACTATGTAACATGATTTTTTTTCTGTTTCGATCAATTCTAAAGCGTAAACATTGACTGAAATGTTATTCATCTTTTCAAATTTTGAAATTTTTGTTAGCAGCATAGGACTATCTAAATTTTCTGTTTGTAAAACGTCAGTAAAGTGTGGATATGAGGAGGTTAGTTCTGCATGTCTTTTATTGCTAGGAGTCCGAAGAGCGCTTACAATGGCCCAGTAAAAGCAATTTTGATCTATATTTTTAATGTTTATACAAGCATTTTTCCTTATAATCGGTTCTGGTAGTCTAATATAAGATGAACCGTTTCCCAATTGATATTTACTGATATTAACAACTAAGGAAATAATTTTATTTAACGCAAATCCCGAATCTTTTTCAGCAAATTCCGATAATTCGTTTAAAAGTTTATCTTTAACATATATCTTAAACCACTCGTCTATTTGAGTTGATGTATCAATAATATGATTTTTAGTATTAATATATTTAATTCCCAAAATTTCATTATCCCCCGATTTCCTAATAAACTCCCCGCAAAATGTTGTATTTACTTTGAGCGCACAATGGGTGTTCACAATATTCCTAATTTTCCTTTTAAAAACAACTACACAATCTGCTAAAAATTGATTCAAGTCCTTATGACGCAAATTAGCTATGGAACCGGTTTTTATTCTACTTTGAAAGCTCGATTCTACATTTTCCCATCTAACCCTCTGACCCAATGTTAAGTGAAGTCCTGCCCCAATATGTCTAGTTAAAATCAACTTTCTAAAATGTTTAAAATGCCCCAAATTTGTTTCTACTTTTCTACAGGTCCCTACAGATAATTTATTTTGCCTTCTACTACGAATTACCCGTTTACATAATCTAATTTGTTTTTCTATTCGTTTCAACCACACTTCCGCGTCTCTGATTGTAAAATTATCAAATAAAATTTTCCGTAGACTAACAATTGATAGTAGAACACCGTCTGTTTGTTTGATGATCTTTTTAACCTTATTTGAAGACATTTGAAAAGACGACATTTTTTTTTTCAAGCAAACACATTACTCAAAAATATATAAAAATGCTCACCCTGTCCTCCTCCTTTTCTCTGCTTTGTTAATTTTCCACTATTTTGAATGATGCTAGCGGTCGGCTTTTCCCTACGTCCACTTCCCCTTGGAAGATGATCGAGTATTTTCCGTGAAAAAGTTCGTCGATGACCGGCTGGTACGTTTCCGTCACCCGCTGTGGTAGAAATAGCACTTCCGGTCCTAAATCTAGTAGCACGGCTTCCCCAAATTTCGACTTGACCACTTTAGCTGCTTGGATTGCAAATGGTGTCCCGACTGGTAGGTCCTTTAATTTTCTGATAGGTTTGCGGTCTACAATCGAAGACGCAGCATTAATTTTTGATAAATCCATCTATAAAAAAAATTGAGTCGTCTAACTATTTTGAAGCATAACACGAAAAAAAAAAACAGTTGCACTTAGAGACATAAAAAAGAAAAATATTAAATAAAATAGCACTTACTTTTTTTAAAATTTTCGCTCTCTCGTCTCTCTCGAAGCACTAATTGTACTGCGGTCGTTGTTGCAGCTTGCAGCGTTGTGCGTTAAGTGTGAAACAATGATGACTATTGCATGCGCTCGCTCAATATAAGTACGTAGTAGAGATGACACACGCGTGCATGAGATAATTGTATCGTAAATATGCATATTATATGCATCATATTCTCAGTACCATTTTTATCGAGAAAACTGCATGCGCTCGCTCAATATAAGTACGTAGTTGAGATGACACACGCGTGCATGAGATAATTGTATCGTAAATATGCATATTATATGCATCATATTCTCAGTACCATTTTTATCGAGAAAACAACATTCATTGCGGTTGCAGTATTTTTTATATAATTTCTTAGTAATACATGAATGTATCGTTTGTCCGGCGGAAATTCCAATTACAACTTGCACATGAGAGTAGAATTTTAGAAATATAGAAATTCGTGTATGATTATTGTATATTTGCTGCCTAATTTTTTTCCAGTCAAGATTTTGATTGGGGGGTAAACGAATTTATATTTGCTATCTGAGATTTTTGACATCATTCTCTATCAAGATGTTGATGTGGGTAGACGTATTATTTTTTATTTCAACTTTCACATACGTGCTTTGCAACGATTTCTCCGAAAAAGACGCTATAGTATACCTAACTCAATATGAACATATCATCGATAATACAACAGATCTCTCTACTTTGCTAACTAACTTGCAAGAAAAGTATAATTTACCAGTGGATGGATTGTTGAATAATGCAACAATTGAATTTATGAATCGTCCGCGTTGTCAATACAGTGATGCTGAATTTAGAGCAAGTTTTCCATTTCGGAAACATGACCTGAAATGGTATTTCCCTCGAAACACACCTGCGGCCCAAAAAGATGCAGAAATGGCTTTTCAGATGTGGCAAAATGTTTCAAACTTAACATTTACAATGGTTACCAATCCCACTCTATATCCTCCTGATATTACTATAACCATGGTTAGCAAGACTCATTATTTTAGCGCAAACTGTATGGGTAATGATGAATGTCCATTGACATTAGATGATGCTGGCGGCGTTTTAGGACATGCATACTTTCCTGACTCTAGCGGCACCTGTAGAGAAATCCATTTAGATATAAATGAACGCTGGTATTTTGGAAATAATCCTAATATACCCAAAAATCAAACTAGTTTTCTTATGGTGTTGGTTCATGAAATTGGACATGCCCTCGGCATAGCACATAGTGCTTCTCCGAATGCTATTATGTTTGCCTTCTATCAGCATGAGATTCGTGGTCTAGATGTTGATGATATAAATGCAGTACAATATCTATATGGAAGAAAAAACAAATATGATTCAATCCCAACGTCTACCACCGCATCAGCAATACCAAAAACAACAACAACAACTATAAGATCTACAACTCGTAAGCAGCCGATCCTCAAAAATTTGTGTGATATTATTCCAGATTTTATGTTTTTAGCTATTGCTCCAGAGTTTTCAAATTACCGATTATATATTGCACATGATATGTTTATATGGAAACTAGACTTAAACGAAATGATTATCCCATCTCAGCCTGAACTTCTTGTCGATTATGTTCCTACAGAATTACGTCAATACACTTTACAACATATTTTCCAATCAACAAACGGTGACTTGATTACCATTGTGTCTCCAAACAAATATTTCTCAGCATCATTCCCTACCATTAAATTTCTTGATAATTTTTCAATTGATATACCCGATAGGGCTCGAATCAATGCTATTTTTCAATCAAACGCAGGACGGTCCTGTACCTTTTATAATAATATGTCATATATAGAATTTTCTAACGATTTTACTGATGTGTTGAACAGAGGACGGATAAGAGACATATTTCCTGGGTTACCTGAAGATATTTCTCTCGCATTTCGATGGATTGATGGCCATATTTACTTTTTCCGTCACGCAACTTACTATAAATTTAATGAATTTACAAGAAAAGTTGTTGCGACCGGACCATTTCATTGGACTCTATTTGGAGTACCATGCCCCAGCCAGGATTTGTTACATCAACTAAAAACTCTGTTATCTAAACTTGTATCTGTATATCATTAAAAAAAAAATTTTTCAGAAATCTATGTTTATTTCGTATTCAGCCTGTTGTCAAACAAAAAAAAAAAACATTCGCTTCCTTCCTTAAAACAATCATTCAATCTACCTGCACGACCAGAACACAGCGATATTGATTCAGACGACACTGTAGGCAACTGAAAATTTCATACACACACACACACCAATCAACCTTATTGTTATATATACTATATGTTTCAATAAAATATTCATTATACTATTTTCATTTTGAACGGTATCATCCTGTATAATAATAACAGTACATCGTATACAGGTTATGAGACATTCTGACCGACCGACCGACCGACCAGAGGAGCCCACCACGCTATTTAGGTCACGCCTTGCTATATACGATTTAACGATATACCGTCGGTCCATCGATCCGCTATTTTTCGATGCACCCCTGTATACACGTTGCCCCCCGTAATCCACGCCAACACCAGACAGGTGCGACATCGGCGCCATCTATGCGCGAGATGCCCAACCCATCAATGGCAGCTGTCCAATGACACATAGATTCCGTTTGGTTTGTACAGCGCCAAACAAATCGGCGCCATCTATGCGCGAGATGCCCAACCCATCAATGACAGGTGTCCAATGACACATAGATTCCGTTAGGTTTGTACACCGCCAAACAAATCGGCGCCATCTATGCGCGAGATGCCCAACCCATCAATGACAGGTGTCCAATGACGTATGACAGATGACGTTTTAACGCCATCTATGCGTGAGATGCCCAATGACGCATGACAGGTGTCCAATGACACACAGATTCCGTTTGGTTTGACAGCGCCATCTAGCGGCGGAATCCCCAACTCATGAATTTCGATTACAGATTCCGTCCAACAACCTGTCAATGGCGCGCGACGCCAGCGCCTCTGGTGGCGGATTTTGGAACTTTTGAGACCGAATCCCCATAAGACATCTACTTCTGTAGCGAACTAAATTTAAGGAGCGTGTTGTCCTTACCTGAATTACTCCAATAAAATTGTAATTAACTGAGCAATACCGCTGGAATATAGCCTTCACGCACCGAAACTTGTATGCAAACTAATACTAATATTATTGATCAGTATCATTAATGGTTATTGACAATGTTATAAAAACTGTATATGTGCTCGTCACGAAACGTCAGTCTGTAGCATGATGATAAAATACTAGCTGCTGATGAGTTCTATGACAGATAATTAAAATTTTGCGTGCTGTCCCTGTTGTGCCATAATAAAGAAAATTAAGAATCCATTTTGTTCCCCATAAATTAAACAGAAAATGCTAGATAAATTTAATAGGTCTGCAATGAAATTTTAAAATGACTTAGTAGCTGTCACCGTCCCTCCAGCTTTTGAAACATTGTAGTGATTCTTCATGGAATGGGGTAGATTGCACACCACAAAATATAAAAGTGCTTTTAGGATTTGGGCTGTGGGCGGTTGGAGAATTGAGCTTCCTAAGATTTTCTTGGCTACATCCTTGAAGACAGTAAAATTATGAAGTTAAATATCGCGAGAAGGAATACATCACATAGATAATTATATTTTCCTTGTTTTTCAGATAAAGCAAAAAGTGCAGTACTTCACAAACTGTGAGGGAAAAAATACAGTGTACTCGCTATTTCGTTTACTACAATCGTTAAAACTTTCAAATATGCTTTGTAGTGTCTGTATCACAAAAAACTAAGTCACTTTTTCTGACAGTCTGTCGGTCTCGTTGTTCTGTATTGTGAAGTTATAGGAGATAATGCTATTTTACTTTGGTTACAACCAAAAAAGACAAAAGTTCTGGATTGTTCCAAAACTTCATAATATAATGTACGTTTTACAACGTTGCAATTTTCTAAGATCTTTGCCTTTTTTCCAAAATATCACTTTTAAGCGACTTCAAAAAATCTTTTGTGGCGTTCAAGAATTTTGTAAATTTAGAAGTTAGAGAGGTAGAGAAAATTTCTGACTGAATCTACTTGACAACTTGTTTTAATATTTGTCATTACCAGAGTATTGAACCTCTACAAAGTTTTCTTGAGGAACTCTCAAGATCAATTGTTTTCATTGAATGCTTGGCACTAGCAAGGAAGGAAATTCCCACTTTCCTAAAAGAACCGCCATTGTTTGATTATCGATTTTCTGTTCCATTGTAAGAGCTCCAGGTAAAGTGCTGAATAGGCAAGTGAAGGTTAAGGCGAAGTTCACGTCACTTTTTGTTAATGGATTCTAACAAATTGAAGCTCCTTGTTTATTTCTAACATAAAACAGTGCGAATATTCTATAGAAAATTCAGTTTTCCTATATTATATGTGCAATTAATTAATAAGTTTTGTGCAACTGATTACTAAAGTAGGTATAACAATAATTTGTGCAGAAGACCAATCGCAAGTTTTGGCTTATGTTTCTCAAAGTATCACGTTGAGTTTGAATTTCGTTTCGGAGCTTTGGGAACATTGTCATCATTGGTTATACAGTGCTGAATGCCCATATTTTATTGCACATTCAGACAGATCCTTACAAAAAAGAAAAGTTGTTAATTCAACATATAAGCGCTTGACTTTGACAGCTTACCAGTCCGCCATTTTTAAAGATCTTAGGATCATAATGTACTGACAAGCAGCTTGAAAATCAGCACATGACCCCCATGCCATTTAAAAAATACCCAGCTACCATCTTGAAATTTTCAGCTGTTATTTTTATTTCAAAATATAGTATTCTTGTCTAAATAATCTAAATTTCATCTTCCCGAATTCTAGCTTGCTAACTTGCACAGTTTATACACGTTTCAAAAATAGGATATGTACACTTCAAAGAAATCTACTCTCATTAAGTTAATAGTCTATAAAAAGAAAATATGATTATAGGCTGCAGAGTATTTAGCAGTAAATTTGAACCTATGGGAAAATTTTAGTCACTGGTTGAGTTAAGCGTAATACGTAAACTGATCTTGTAGTTTTGGAAGCATTAACGTTTCATCATGAACTTTTATTAGATAGATTCGATGAACAAAAACGCTCACGCTTAACTTTCATTACCCATTCTATCCCTTTGCAGTAATTATAAGACCTCATTCCTTATTGCCTATAGACAGTTCATATTTCTCATTACTAACGCCATCCGTTAGGATTGAACCAACAACAACCCTTAGAACTAAGGTTAGAGAGCAATAAGGTATCTAAAAATGAGTGTCGCGATGTTATTATCTTGTGACTATTACACCTTCTTAACAAAATAACTGAAAAATAAAAATTCCACAAAGATAAATAAATAATATATTCAGTACAAAAGACCATAACTGATATCGCTATAATTATATTATCAAGGAACAAGCTTACATAACTGTAGTTCTCACAGCGAATAAACTTCAACATTATAACAGAATCTAAACAATTCATAAACTCATTAAGGGAGGAATTATAAGTCATGTCCAGTGGCGACGCGTGACTTTTCCTAAACTGTTACCAAAACCAGATATGAAAAATCTTATTAAAAAAGTTTATTTTGAACCTCCCAAATATAAGTTTTTGCTTATTTTAGGTATTTTATTTAAACTAGTTTTAAATTAAGGTAAACATTCCTGGGGCACTTGATATACCTCATCGTCTCATGCTATGACTAATCCAAGCCGTCCGAAAAAACAGTCGACTTTTCTAGATGTTCGGAAAATTTTTGATCTTTTTTGGCAATGAATGTTAACAATTCCCTGTAATTTCCTCTATTGTCAGAGTCATCCCCTTCAAAATGAACGGTAATTCCTGTTTTGCCAAAAAACATACGGTATCTAGAAGTGTGCTGCCTAAAAGCTTGGTTAAGTCAACTTTCGATTCTTGTTTTGGAAAACTGAATTAAATTGGCTACACATCTCACATGTAACGGAAAAATCTCATGTCTCCTCTTTAGAGCCCTAAAACTATTTAAACCGTTGACTCCGATGCATTTTATTCTGTATAAAACAGAAGACATCGCCAATAATTCAATCTGTTTTTTTACAACCAGATAAACAAGAGTTTCCATATACCAACATAATTTAAAATATCAAACTACGTTTTTTTATTCCTTTTTAAAATTATCTAAAATAGACGTTGGTCTTCTATTTTCAATGATCTCCTTTTTTTCTTAAACATTTTACAAGGAGAATGACTTTTCAAGTAGTTGATCGATTACGCAGCGACACTCATCCATGTTTAATTGCACGCATACTACAGCCGGTAACCAAAACGGCTACTAACGAGTGGGAAGTGAGTAACCAGATCAAAAAATGGTAACAAGCCCACATAACAGTCGCAGCGCCCCACGCACTCGGACGACCGCGATCAGACACGAGCCGGTACCGACGGTCCCCGACAGACTACCAAGTGTATGCATAAATGAAAATGGTAACAACCGACAACCAAGTCGAGACGAGTCAGCTTCATCGTGTTCGCAAAACCTAGACACTATAGGGCGCATTATTTTCGTGGGGCTAATAAGCTATTTAGTGAATTACTATTACATATCCCTGTTGGTAAACAATTAAATGAAATTATTTCACAGTACTTAGTCATAAAATATTTATTTTTAAGATTTTTAGCTGTTACCAATGGTAACAATGGTTACAAGGACGCTTCGCCACTGGTCATGTCGCTTATTTTACCTTCGAGACATGGGCTCGTTACGAATAGAAATGCGAAAAAAATATAAATACGTGAAGTACAGAGTGTTGATCGACTCGACACATATTGCAACACTGGCAGAAATAAAATAATACTTAATCGCGTAAATTCATCGCGTTTACATGTTTATAGTACGAAATAGTCTAGTCATAAGTCTTCATATTAAATATGGGTTTTGACAGAGGTATCCTGTTTTGCCTAAATGTTTCGCACCTTTATCATAATCGAGAGGGATCATATTTCTACATTTCATGAAAAGAAAACAAAATATTTAAAGTGAATCACTTTGATTATTTAAACTAATTTGTGACTATGACTAACTCTGATAGGCGTATTGAAGAACTTTTTTGTCTTTGAGTTAGATCTCTTTACATTAAAAGCTACACAAGCGTAGAAATCGGTATACCGAAAAGTAAAATATTTCATACGCGAAGGATTTTTTTTGCATTATTGAATGAGGCATTTTATTTGTAGGGATTATCACTGTACGGAGGAAGTTGAAAAAATTGAATATCTCCACCTGCCAATGGTCTGAGATCGTCAGAATTTTTGCCTACCTCAGCACAATATTTTGAGTTTTTCAAACGACCATACCCACTTGGTTGATATTCGTTTGTCTATCTCCAGGACTACTGGGCCTGTACTGCACTGATGAGTCGCTAATGAGCACGAAATGCCACTGTCTGCCGCTGTTCGTAGTTACAGAGAAGGAAAGAATACTTATTTGTGACTATGACTAATTCTGATAGGCGTATTGAAGAACTTTTTTGTCTTTGAGTTAGATCTTTTTACATTAAAAACTACACAAGAAGCGTAGAAATCGGTATACCGAAAAGTAAAATATTTCATACGCTAAGGATTTTTTTTGCATTATTGAATGAGGCATTTTATTTGTAGGGATTATCACTGTACGGAGGAAATTGAAAAAATTGAATATCTCCACCTGCCAATGGTCTGAGATCGTCAGAATTATTGCCTACCTCAGCACAATATTTTGAGTTTTTCAAACGACCATACCCACTTGGTTGATATTCGTTTGTCTATCTCCAGGACTACTGGGCCTGTACTGCACTGATGAGTCGCTAATGAGCACGAAATGCCACTGTCTGCCGCTGTTCGTAGTTACAGAGAAGGAAAGAATACTTATTTGTGACTATGACTAATTCTGATAGGCGTATTGAAGAACTTTTTTGTCTTTGAGTTAGATCTTTTTACATTAAAAACTACTCAAGAAGCGTAGAAATCGGTATACCGAAAAGTAAAATATTTCATACGCTAAGGATTTTTTTTGCATTATTGAATGAGGCATTTTATTTGTAGGGATTATCACTGTACGGAGGAAATTGAAAAAATTGAATATCTCCACCTGCCAATGGTCTGAGATCGTCAGAATTATTGCCTACCTCAGCACAATATTTTGAGTTTTTCAAACGACCATACCCACTTGGTTGATATTCGTTTGTCTATCTCCAGGACTACTGGGCCTGTACTGCACTGATGAGTCGCTAATGAGCACGAAATGCCACTGTCTGCCGCTGTTCGTAGTTACAGAGAAGGAAAGAATACTTATTTGTGACTATGACTAATTCTGATAGGCGTATTGAAGAACTTTTTTGTCTTTGAGTTAGATCTTTTTACATTAAAAACTACTCAAGAAGCGTAGAAATCGGTATACCGAAAAGTAAAATATTTCATACGCTAAGGATTTTTTTTGCATTATTGAATGAGGAATTTTATTTGTAGGGATTATCACTGTACGGAGGAAATTGAAAAAATTGAATATCTCCACCTGCCAATGGTCTGAGATCGTCAGAATTTTTGCTTACCTGAGTTTTTCAAACGAACATCCCACTTGGTTGATATTCGTTTGTCTATCTCCAGGACTGTACCGCAGTGATGAGTCGATTATATCTCTTGAGAAATATTTGTCAGATTATTACTTTTGGAGGCACGTTGGTTTTGGGTAAAATCTGTATAAAAACCTTAAAACCGTTCTACTTTGAATACGCTGAAGTTGATGAAGTTTTGCATTGAAAGTTGAAGTATAGGGGTAATCCCATCCTACTGCAGCGTTATTTGTGGTACATTCAAGTTTTGACCTATCAGTGGCATAGAAAACAACACCTTGAATCTTGCTGGACACTTTATGGTCTATGTTTATAGGGATATTGTATGTTACTTTTGAATGTACCTTTTGCTCTAGAGATGTTAGCATCATCTTTTTAATCACCCAGTATGCGAATATAGTTGGGTTTTTCAACGTCTTGATTGATTCCTTGTCTGTGATGGCCTGCAAGTCTGAACTTGAAATCCATAAAGCTCAAAAGTTTTATATAAAAAGTAAAGTTTGAGGTTAATTTTCTGAAACCGTTTCACAGCTATTGCGCATTTGATCAATTATGCAAATTAGAAATTGCGCTACATGAACTAAATTTAGATTTTTACTTGACCGAATGCAAATTTGATCGTACTGCGTCAAGATGCTATCGAACCTGCCTCTCATAATGCACACAGTTTGATTAAAAAGTCTACTGCTGCACTCTAATAGCTGCTTTATCTGAAATTTATGCTGGATTGGGTGTGTATGAGCTTGTATAGAAAATTTATTTTTTATCTTGATTAACCCCATATAAAATTAATCACAAAAGGCTTGACCATGGTTGCGCTAATGAGGACTGAAAATTATAAGCAATCCAGCGGAATGCACGAACAAAGGGAACTAAAATAGCAATCCACATCCACCATTTACTTAATAAATAGACAACTTAAGACAATTAACCAGTTTTAATTCCTCTATTTGCTGGATAAATGAAACTTTGTATTATTATGTAACTTTTAATGGCCTCCTTCCCCTGCAACTAATATACAATACAAAATACTAATATTTTGCGTCCTATCATGGCCAATTGTTAATTCTTTGATCGACCTTACAGGGAACCGTTGGCTTTAACAATGATTTTCTTTAGTATCATAGCAAATACATATTTATCAATTCAGAGTAAATAAATTTGAAAAATATAGTTGTTTATTTTCTCGAAAACTTACGTCTTGCTGTAGGCTTGCATTATAATTTTAATGTCGCGGCGCATCTGTGTTCCTGAGTTCTATGAGTGTTAGTGTGACTAAAAGGGATGTGTCATAGCCCGATAATATCTTCGACTTTTTAGTAATTGGCGTTACAAAGAGCTTCGTATTTCATGGATGACCCACGTTATGTCATCTGTAGTTAAATTAATTTGTCTGTCTACTGTTCGTCATCTATCTATCCACTAACCCCCGAGCTCTTTTAGCTAGAAAAACACATCAAGATTTTGATAAAATTTTAAAAAAAATTATTGCTATGCCACGGACGAAAAAGCTCAGTACAAGCTTAAAAATTCAAGATCGTTCCTCAACATCGGTTTGCATGTTTTTGAAGTATTTGATGATGTTTAGTCAAATAGGTGTTGAAGAGGTAAAAATTCTCGTATTTCAAGAATCTGCAAACATATTAAAGGATCGAAAAATTAGAAAGTAATTAACGTGATTCCATACGCGTCGACATCGAGTATAATTCCAGGAAATTTTTCTCTTTGTTCAGGTCCCATGGGTCCAGTAAGGGACGCGACAGTAGCAACGTGAGTCTTTTTTTGTTGTTGTAGCAATGTTTGGTGCACACTTTTCTCGAGAAAGTAGTAGGTCCGTATGAATGAACAATGCAATTTCGTTACTGATTTGAACCTAGGGACATTGCTTATTAGTCCAGAAAGTAGATATAATCGCAACCGCTTGGAAAACTGCTATTTTTTACATAATGTGATCAAAAAAGACCTATTTTGACGAATCTGCATGTTGCCAGTCCCAGAATCTTGTCAAAAATTGTTTACACAATGTTTTTATCAAATTCCAAGAGTTGGCTTTGTCGCTCTGGAGAAAGCATTTTTATGTTTTTTTTCTCTAAAGCTAATAGTTTTCGAAATATAAGCGGTTTAATATATGAAAAAGTGCAAAGTAGTTTGTTTAACAACGATTAAAATGCCAAGTATATTACAGGCTATTCATTCATTTGTTTATTATTCTTTATGGCATTATATACAGGGTGACCAATAAGTACCACGACAAAGTTAAGGAGCAGGTAGGCTTTGAACTCACCTCCCAAATAACAAAAACTTACCTGTATAAAAGTGTCACCGTTTTTTAGATATTGAATTTTATTCTTAAATTTTAAAAAACCGAACCTTTTCATCTGTGGTCTTTAGCTGCATGTACAAATAAGGTTATACTTTGTTCATTTTTTCTATAAAATACTTCTAGATAGTTGCTTTATCATATACAAATGGAATGTAGTTAAATTATATTAAGAAACCATGATAAAATAAGGACTGTTTTGGGATTTATAACCTTCTAATATTGTTTCCTCAACTTTCATAAAATCATATCAGTAGCAGGTAATAATAATGTAGCTTTGTACTATTTAGCATTTCACTGATCGGTAACCAGTGCAACTTGAATTTGAATCCAATAATTACATTGTAGTGTGCGTCAGTCACTTACAAAAGCACTTTTTTGTATTCCAAACAGTACGTGTGGTGCCTTTCTGAAATCTGCATTCAATGAGCAATCTTTTTATTCAATATAATGCAGTTATAGCCCAGTACATCTTCGTTTCGCCACAGATGGTCACCTGTTAGCCATATTTCACACATCGTAGGTTCTACCGAACATTTGCCTTTGAAACCTAGAATGAGAAATGTTTTCCATACACGTCTTCTTCTGCTACCTGGGCTCAGCGCTCGGCGTAACTGTATGCTTGATTGTTCTGCTCGTACTGCGGCGGTGCCTCGGTGGACGCGGCCACGTCTGTCGATATGGCAACATTGCCGGTCGGATGGTGGCAACTATCGGTAGGGCAGAGGAAAAATGTCTAAGGACTAATTGTATGTTCTTCTTTGACTGACTTGATCCGTTTAATTCCCTTAATGTACATAACTACTGTGTTGTACATACCTGTAACTTGTGCTGAACTTGGTATTTCTGAACTGATGACGGAGTGGTTTAGGAAGCGTAGAGTCAACCTACTTGACACCATTTTATATAAGGGATGTTTGTTATACCTTTGGACACGTTTTGTATCTTGTTCAAAAGGTAAGGTTGGTCTGGCTCAAAGTTCTACAGATATCTTGTTTTTTTAAATCTGTTTTTCTGGTACGTTGGTAAGTTTATTGTAATTGTTTTTGTTCTATGGTTTTTATGTCTAGGTGTATTTTCCCACATCTTTTTAGCCCTCAAGAGGGCGAATAATAAACGCCGGAACTGTGGCAATTTGAAATTAAAATTAAATATCAACAGAATAGCATCATACATGCTATTAGGCACAGCGATTAAAAATACAATTTTTATTAAACAAAACAACTGTTACAAGTTCACTTCACTGCGATTTTTTTAATATTACGAGAAGCTTAAATAAAACTGCGAATAGCATATGTAACTCAATGATCATTTCGCTTTTCTTATAAGTGCACATTTATAAAGCTAATACGGCTAGGTTAACCTTGCTCAATTAATCATTGGGATTGGAAAACAGAGAAAAATAATTCTGATGATAACGGAACGTTTCAGACGTATGAAACACGTAGGTAACATTCGATTTAACGTCACAACTTTTCTCTGCGAGTTCAGCTTTCTAATCGTACTCTAATGGGTTAGCTTACAAAGATTCTTTGACTTCTGTAGTCAAAATAGACTTCCGATTATTATTGGTCTCTGTTAAAAAGTTCTTGTATCTAGGAGAAAGATTTTTACTCCTTATTTATATTATATCTCGTTATTTTGCCTTTAAACAGTATATTAATGATAAACTGCTGTCTTGATTCGGCTGTAAAGGTCGTCGTCGGTTGGAATTTCTTCCTAACGTCTCGCTAGTACGAGTGGCAAGCTTCTTCAGACGTCCTTCCTCTCGTGCTAGCGAAACGTTAAAAAGAAATTCCAACCGACGACCGCCTTTAGACCCGTATCAAGACAGCTGGCCGCGAAAGCCTTAACCAATTTATATTAAGGATATTTTTATATTTTTATGAACGAGAAGTGGAAGAAACATGTCCAGGTTAAAACGTGTGTAATTTTCGCGCAATGAGCAATAAGGTATAGTAACATAATACTTCAGCTATGGAAGTTATACTTTAACGTGAAATGTATCGCCCCATTCTATTCGTATCCACAATAAAAATTAAATTTTATTGACGCTTTCAATTACTCTGTTGTAAGATACATGAAATAAAATCCATAATCTGAGCTGAAGAGTTTATTCAACTACCAGTCCGTAAATTAAGTACAAATATAATTTATACAATTCATCGAAGGTACACATATAAATACATCACTTTTCATAAAATATTAATATGTATTTCGGTATAAACATATATTCATTCATTATATCAATTACAGAGAAGCATTTTAAAGGAAGAAATGGTATGTATATCCATAAAAATGATAAAAATTGAAACACTACAAACGTCTCTGTATATCGAAGACGTGTTGTAGTGCACGATTCTTGCAAATTTTGGTGACAATTCCCTGATTATAGTGCCTATATATTAGTACTAACACTGGCATGTTTTTGAAAGTAACGTCGAGAGGGAGTGGCACATGGCAATGCAATGAAAATTGCGTTGCACAGAATCAGTGCTGACAGACTATGAGAAAATTTATCTTATAGTCTTTTATCAACTGTCAAATATATTGGGAAGCTTGTTATGAAAAATTAAACCATGCTTTCCTCATCAGTACGCGCCGCGTGGTTGTCACTTTTCCCTGAAGTATTATAGCACCCTCGTAAACTAGAACTTGAGGTACCGATGAGACGCACTTGCAACATCGACGCTTAGGCAACCAGAATTACGCGACCGTGCATGGATCGCGCTACGACGTCAGAATGGCGAGGTGAGTCAGCAGTGCGAATCGCGATAGTCTAGTCGACATGGTTATTGATTTATAATAAGTTAGTTGGAAGTTTCGTTATAAATTGGTGTGCAATGGGAGATTTGTCCCCTTTGTTGTTGTTTTGTCGTCATACTACCTCAATGTAAGCGTGAAGAAAAAAGTCTGCTATCCTTCTTCAAAAATTAAATAAAAGAATTTTCAAGAACTCATAAAAGTCCTCCCTGTTGATGAGCGTAACACGATCACATCAACAAGACTACCCGAGCCTAACGGTGACCCCACAGGCTACACAAATTTGCCGAAAGAGGGACAGGAAAACACAAGGGCTTTCAGAAGCGCTGCTTTGGCTCAATATGTGGTATTCCAACCACTTGACACTTGACCGTAATGGTGCGGTGCGACATAGCTGCGCTTAGCGTAGAACGTCGAGCGGTATGAGCTAGAGAGCCTAAGTGTCTACCGTACGGAATAACGTTAAAAAATCAGCTTTAGCGAACCATTGGTAGGTAGGTGGCGATCCTCAGGTTTTTCACTTACTTGCGCACAATAAGTTTAGTGCATATTACGAAACTTGCGATAAGTGTCTCCTCCCAACGAACTTTCATTAATTCCGCCAATATCTGGCTGTATATCATCGTGTCGTTTTTACAATGTAAAACAGATTTAACGAGCGCGTACTTGAGAGTATTTCGCATAGTTTGCCAACAGTTCTAAGATAACACAAAGAAGTACTATTTAATACTTGTTATAGAGGTGCAATACAGTCGAAAATCACATTTAATCGGATCTATTTTGGTTGACTAGTACAGGACATCTATTTACAAAAGTAACCTTCAGCTTACCTGGGTGTTGCTCCCAAGGTTCACCATCTATTTGCATTGGAGCTTTTTCCTTTAGACGGATCTAAAAACAATATTTCACTTATCATGTCATCAGCATAATTTGTTGATAGGACTTATCTGTAGTGTTACCCTTTTTACGTCCTTTATAGCGTTTATACGGAATTGTATCATGCATTTTCTGACGATTCAACACTTTAGGCTTTAAATTTGAAACAAAAATGTTTTGTTAAATCTGCAACGTTGCTATGTAATTTTTTTCATAAAAAAATAAAATTTTAAATGATTACTAGTTAGAAGTTTCTGACAATAGTTATACTTTACCTCCACAACTTTAGCCTGTCCTAACCTAACTGGACAAGAAAGGCCTACTTGCAACTGGGCCATATGGAATGATGAATAAATACCAACTACTTCTAGAATGCCATCATGATATGACTGAGAAGATCTCAGTGAACCATCACCACTCATACCTTAAATAAATAGGTTATAAAAAGACAAAATTATGAAACGTTTCAACGTCAGAAAATGGTTACCCCACAAATTTACACCAGCTCCCCACGAAGGAATGTTAAGCACAACTATAGATTCTAGCTCTGGCAGATCAATGTGTTGTCCATCCAGGTACAAATCCAAGCGTCTTTCTAAGTTTTTGCAGTCAGCTGTCACAACTTGTTGCGTCCCAAAACACAGATACAGCAACTATAAAAATATATAGTGTATTAAGACTTAGGATTGATATTGCTTTGATTCAAAATTTGATCTGGTTGCTATTGGATACCTTGTTGAACACTCGGCTCCCATATACATAAAATATACTGTCCCTAGTCTTGTGAAAGCTCAAAGCCACCTGAGCATCAACTCCAATACTCAAATAATTGTACATATAATAAACCTTGCTTGGTAATTTTAGGCCTAAATGTCGGGTAGACGTCAATTCAACTCTCCACCTGAAATTAAAGGTTAAAACATTCATAAAATGTATAATTATCATAACGTATTGTATCATATTCAAACAGAAACTGTTTGGGAGTGTTTAAGGGTATCTGACAATAGTTTTACATAAAATGAAGCTTGCTGACAAAAAATGAATATTTTCCAAATTGTTTCTTATTAATTGTACATTTTCAAAACAGAGCCAAAGTCTTCTCATTAACAGAATGTTTTCACCTATTTTACAAGCTTTCACTTAACTTGACCTGTTTGTTAATATGTTAGTATGATGTATGCATGTGTGGAACAAATCTTGTAACTGAATTTTGAACTAGACAGTTGAGCTGAAACTTTGTACACAGGTTTGGTTTACGTGACAATACGAAATGGATTAACTGCCGACATTTTAAATTCAATATGGCAGATGCCAAAATGTGGATTCATCATTTCCATAGTAACTCCTAAGATTTACGTATCAAATGAAAGAGCTTGATGAAAGAAACACAATAAACAAAGTGACCTCATTCTAAATCCAATGCGGCGTTCGCCGTAAAATTGCGATTTACATTCTCCAAAGTCACCCCTATGAAATGGATATCAAATAAAGTGGCTTGATCACAGAAACGCAATGAGCAAAGTGGCGTCATTCTAAGTCCAATATGGCGGCCGCTGTAAAATGGCGATTTACATATTTCATAGTCACCCCAACGACATGGGTATCAAATGGAAGGTTTTGACGAGAGAAACACAATAAGCATGGTGATGTCAGTCTAAATCCAAATGGCGGCCACCGTAACATGGCGATTTACATTTTTTACAGTCACCCATATGATATATGGGTATCAAATGAAAGGACTTGATACAATTAAAAGAAGAAGTTTTACGGAGTTATTGATAAAACATATAAAAGTTATATAAAAATTAACAATTACTAGTTTGATATCATACATACTAAAAAGTAAACAATTAAATAAAAAAAAATACATAATACATCTTTAAAGCAAGCTTTTATTTAGCTGCACATAAAATTAACTGAAAATTATAAAATATTTTTTCCCAGAAATATATAAAATGATACTGATATTTAAATGATATAATAAATAAATATAGTTATTTACCTGTCAAGTTCAGATAGCCTTGCTCCTTTGATGTCCCTCAATACCTGGTCCACCTGGAGCTCTCCAGAACTATGTTTACCCCAACCAAGTACCCTAGATAAGTCATTACCAGTACCTAATGGAATGATAGTCAGTGGAGGTTCTGGCTAGAAAAGTAATTCAATCTGAATACCTTGATACAAAACGCATCTCATTTTGCTGTATACAAAAGCATGCCTTCTATTTTACATACAAATATTCTTACATCAAGATCCAACTTATGTGAAGAAGTCAGCACCCAGGAGATGGTTCCATCTCCTCCTGCTACCAAAATTTGTACAATTTTAGGAGCTAAAAGGACACACCACTGTAAAGCAGCAGGAGGTTTTCTTTCATCCAAATCTATAACTTGGACAGGGTTCAAATACTTTCTGAATTCTGACAACACCAGTGCTCCATCAGTATTGCCAGATTTTTTATTTGCTGAAAGGAAGAACTCGATTAGAATGGTGACTTAAGTCAAGCATGGGTATATGCACAAGTTGTACCACAGTGAGACTGTGAATCATAACATGTCACTACATTCTGTGAGTGAAGTGCTATCATGGCCAGGAATGGTGAAGTCAGACCAATAACTGATTGTCCATTGGTTGTTTTCTATTGGAATATTGGGCAAACGTAAAATTAGTATTTCAATTATTTATGGGTGTAGAATTGTGTTACATTTAATAAGTTGACATACCTATAACAACCAATGGTGTCCACTTATCCCAACCAGGGTCTTTAACAGCTCTTAGAAGTAGGTGCTTTTGTAATGCACCTTTTCTTCTGGCCACCTGAACACACCATGGAGGTACAATCATATTTCTGAATGGTCCAAAATCACAAAACTGAAATTAAAACATCTTATTTCAGAATAAGAATCTTACTTAATAAATTAGTACCTTTTCAATTAAGGGTAAACATTCTGTATGTACTGTTTTTTGACACCAACAGCATTGGAAGTCAACTAAGCCAGGTTCCATTGAACAGTCTTCCTCACATCTTGCACATACTGCACCCAATGGCAAATTTCCTAAAAAATAGTTGTGATACATTTCTGTAATAGTATAACAAATATTTGCTTGAAGTTTGTGTCAACAATTTTTGGTATTAAAAAAAAGTATTCTTTCAGATCAGATTGCATATGTAAATTGTTTGTACAGGTTATGAATATTTTGCAATATTCATTTTGGAACCATCCATTAATCTTGATTTTATTAATTTAATTAATAGTTGCATTTATAAGAAGTTTACCTTTAACCCAGTGGTGAAGTTGTTCTTCAGTATTACTTGTAATGATCTTACATGGTAACTTTGCATTTGCTTTTTTGACACAATCTTGATCTGCACATACCCCACAACAGTCACAGTATACCCCTATACAATTTAGGAGTAAAGATTCACAAATAGAACAATACCATGCCTGGAAAAAAGCATAACTTATCAAATAGCATGGATAGTGGAATTTTCATAATTTTTTATTGTTCTTGCTGTATTTTTAATTTCTTCTATACATAAAATTACTTTTTCCTATTTGTTTGCTGTTACCCCAAAAGGGTATTCCGCAAAGGCATTTATTAATGTTTATGCCATGCTCAAGGCTTGGCCTTTTGTAGCTTTTTTATTTATTCACATGGCCCTATATTTTACAGTGTGTGATATTATTTTATGTAACGATGAACAAAATATATTTAAATTTGAATTGGTGCATATCAGATACTAGGATAAGAACGTATTTCTTTTGTATCCTTAGTTACTGATATCCCAGTAAACCTTCAAAAAGAGAAAGGGAAGCATCACATTTTATAAAGATACATAACTAGAATTAGCAATAGCAGATATTTGAAAAATTTGCAGTGAAAGTAAAAGTACCACACATATACCTATCTCAGACATATTGCAGGACCTAGTGCCAAAAGCATTGTGATAATTCAGCAATGGTAGCTTAATTTTGCAATTATGATTAGGAAGTATTTTGTCCAGCACTTGGGTTTTTCCAACGATTTATTGAATATGTGAAATAATCAATTGTGTGTGAACGAACAATGTTTATCCATACTTTGTGGCAAATGAACTAATGTTTGGATGCCATTACCCCCTCAGAAAAAAAACTATGTTTATCTGCAGATATTTAGTATTTAGGTATTTTCAGCAGAAAAGGTACTTCAAACTTTTCCTGACAAACTCCTAAGAATGTCTTAAGGTCAATGCCTTTATGGTCAAAAGGAAAAGGGTGATTTCACACAGCATCCTTCTTGATGAGGCAACTTCCTTTCTGCAACTAATCTTGCACCCTTCAACTCTTTCTTTTGCATTTGAAAGTTTCCGGTTGACGAAAATGAAATGGTAAGCCAAGCAAATATATACTTAATATGATAATCAGACCTTGGAAGAAATCTTTATTGTGGTCCAATTATGATTCTTGGTGGAATCTCTAACAGGTACTTGGGTTTCACCACTAAGCCTCTTGATAATATAGAAACTTAAGACGCAAACCACCACAGCACTAACAAAACTCGTGAGTCCGAAAGGCGGAAAAAGTTCGCTTAGCATCCACATATTGGGGTTCATTTTGCTGAAAACAGCCATAGTTGTAGAAAAATAGTAATGTCAAATTTTGGCGCAGCACTTTTGAAAATCATCATCGCCTCCGGTCTTCAAAAGTGGGTCAGGGCTGATTGGAAACTATTTTATTGGCATTCTATCAAACTTTTACTATTTTGAAAAATAAAAATGATCACTGTCATATTCAAAATTGACAGGTTTAAGATCATGACGTTTCTTTTGACATTTCATATTCACACAAGAGTTGGGGCAGCCTAATATGAAAGCTAAAAGAACCGAATCTCTTATTGGAACCGTATTAGACATAGAGCTAGTGGAATAACTTAGGGTATGTTCATAGTGAAGATGCTTACTGCGATGCTTTCTTCGCTACCTCGATGAGTGCTTTCTCGCGACTTTCAACATGGATGGAGGGTGTTCATACTGAATTCACCGTCGAATGCGGTTCTTAATGTTTCATATGTTCACGAGCGAATAAGAAGGCAGGATATTGTCAAGCGACAGTGACAATGAGAGTGATTTGTCTCTAGTAACCAAGTGGTGGATATTTAGTTCTCTATCACATCGAAAATACAGTACACATCCAGTAAACAAAGCGAGACAGGAACTTGGCGAGTACCACCATCTTTCCCTCGAATTGAAAAGACGTAAGGAAAGATTCCATTCCTACATGAGAATGTCGACAGATACATTTGGTTACATACTCGACAAAGTTGAGCCTCTAACTGGACGACCGCAAGGACACCAACTTGCATAGTAATCCAATTCTTGATGAGGAACAAGGACGACCTTGAAAGAACCAATCACAGCTAATCCCACCCCGATGTTTCCCTCCTGACAGCGATGTAAAAACAAAATATTTTTTATTACGCCGTTCGACCGCGAGGAAGCGAAGGTAGCGGCGCAGATTGTATCATCACCATGAACGCGCTCCCAACTTAAAAGATGTGTTTGTTTTGCATCGTGGTCAGATCGATGAAGCGATCATCGAGGTAGCGAAGAAAGCATCGCAGTAAGCATCTTCACTATGAACATACCCCTACATGACTACATGGAAATGATTCGGTATTAATCTTTTGTCGATTCATGAGGAGCGGCCTAAAGGATCTTCATTTTATTGCCGAAATATAGGACAGCCATATTTCAACGCTCTTTCACGTACAATGCGGTGACATTGATTAATTCATTTGATTAAAATTTTATTAGCACTTTTTTCACAAAATCTTCAAGAACTGTTCCTCAGTTCCTAAAATATTTTTTCTCTTTTGTTTCAATTATATGTTGGTCTTATGTCTCTTCCTGATCCACGGGAGTGGTACCAGAACCGTCTAGGCCCTCTGATTTTGGATATGTATGTTGAGTTAGGAAAATAAGCTTCATGACATGATTAAGCATGAATGACCATGGGTCAGACTCCGCCATTTGTAACTGTACACTATGGTATTTGTTACAATACAGTCAGTTGAATTGAATTGTTTAGAAAACATTTGCCAAGATTTTTGCACTTCAAAAAGACAATTTGAGAAAAATTCGATCGACATTGCTATCTATTTACCGCATACACTGTGATGTTCGAAGTTCTTCAAATACAAAAATATTTAAGCGACCTCATTACATAGCTTTTATTTTTGCACAGATTACTAACATTTAACCACAGACGATAGTGTGGTCGTTAACAAATGAGTATTGAGGTATTTCGAGGTTGGTGGGCGCCGGGCCCTTTCTGATTCTGCCAGCCGCATCATAGTGGGAACCGTGACAAGGGCAGTAGTATCCTCCTGGACCATAGTCGCCAGCATCAGCTATCGGAATACATCCTGAAATATTGTATAAAATCTTTAGAATGCAGACCTTTTTGCCCGCAGTTGGCCACATAAAGCTAGTATTATCATCGTACATGTACAATGCGGATTTTATGTGAATTTGTTTTTATCGCTTTTTGCTCTTCTTGTAGAACAACAATTGATTGCAACAGAGCGCAAAAAACTGTCTGCCGCTCTCAAAACATTGCCATCTAAAGCATTTATCGAACGGCATAGTAATATTTTGCGTTCTTGAAAATATTTGCCGTCTAACGTTTAACAATTAACCACAAGGGCACTCATACGGCGAAATTCAGACGAGGGCACAGTTTACAGGCTCAGTCAACCAGTTTGAAAGGAAGTTGCCAGTGGTTTGAAGCAGTAGCAGAAACTATTTCTAAGACAAAAACGCTATTTGTTAAGAACATTTTACTTTTGAACGGAAGCATATCTATTTTGCTATTTTACTCATATCTTATATCTTTTATTTTTGCGTATCTTCAATTTATACCTAAGTGAGTGCAAACACCGATAACTACTAAAAAGTCTGGGTTCTTGCATCTCTGCTCGTCCGTTTCGGGGTCTCTTAGCGAATTCACTGGCACAGCTCTTGCGACATCTATCTCCCCTTTAGTACGGTGTCTCACGAACAGCGGTTTGCCTCTCCATTTGAAAGATGCTGACTTTCCTGCCGGAATATCTTTTAGATTGATTTCGATCTTTGCTATGGCCAAAACGTCGGCTGATGCCATCATGCTCATCACGAGTCTGTAATAATAACACATACGTTATATTATCTAGTGCGTATAACAAAACTCGAAGAATGAAGGTTATTTTATATTCTCCAGCACGTACAGTGGGTAACAATTGGAGTGATCACGTAATGTTTGAAGTTATTGTCATATTATCCCCCCTACCTATAGCAACAGAATCGCATCCATTTTAACCAAGAATTGAGTTTTCGTCTAGACACAAGAAACTTTTTCATCGCTCGTATTCATTTAAAACTTTATAAATTCGCCATAGATGATTTTCGTATAAATAAACGAAACACGGCAAGCTGCGCTAATTTCGGACGATGATACCAAATAATAATAATAATAATGATATTAATAAATGGCTTTATTGGCGGAGTTTAGCACAGCTATTCCTACACTCAACCTTTCTAAAGACTAAAGCTTAATGCTAATTTGACATACAAATATGGTATTTTACATATACAGTAAACGATTGTATGTCTATGAATCTAACTAAAAAATAATGGTAATTGATCACAGGGCATTTATTCCTCAGATCCTATGCAGAATTCCTAGAAGATGTTGTCTGGAGATGCAGTTTGAACAACGGATGTTATTAGTACGAGGGATGTCTTTTAAGTTTTGCATATGGAAATAAAACAACACGGTAGGTAGTTTTAAATGACTTTATTGTTTTTCGAAGTATTCTCCACGAAGATTAATACACATCTGCATGCGCTCGAACCAATTTTCGAAGCACTTATTCCACTCGTTTGCTGGCAGATCCAAAACGGCATTTTTGAATGCGTCAACTGCTTTTTCTGGTGACTGGAACCTTTGACCACGCAGTCTGTTTTTAATTTTCGGGAAAGTAAAGAAATCGTTAGGACTTAGATCGGGACTATATGGAGGATGGTCCAATAATTCCACGTTTTCTTTCGTTAAATACTGCCTTGTTTTTTTGGCTGTGTGCGAGCTTGCATTGTCTTGGTTGAGAATGATTCTTCTTTCGCGGTTGATTTTTCGAAGCTCGGTCATGACCTTTGGCAAACAAATGGTGGTATACCAATCCGAAGTAACAGTTCTTTGTTCATTAAGAGGAATTGTTGCAATATGACCCGCTTTTGACACAAATGTCGTGACCATCTTGTTCGAAACATTTCGAGAATGGATGACTTTTGTTCGCTTTTCTTCACTTTGGAACACCCAAACAGCCGACTGTCGTTTATTTTCTGGTTCATAACAGTAAATCCACGATTCATCACCACTAACAATGCTGTACACATTTTTTGAGTTTCCGGAATTGAAACGGTCAAGCGTTTTTTGACACCAGTTAACCTTGGTTACTGTTTGCTCTTGAGTCAACAGGTGGGGGTATCCAATCTAATTTTCTTATTCCTTATTCTTCATGTAAATTTTTTTGAACTGAGGTCTTTGAGATCTCGCGATATGTCACATGTCTATCTTCAATGATGAGTTTGCGCACAGCATCGAAGTTTTTCTGGGTGACTGCCGATTTTGGTGCACCCAACCTGGAATCGTCGCTAAGACTCACCCGTCCACGTTTGAATTCTCCATACCAACGGGAAATTGTCGACTGATGTGGCGCTTCGTTGCCGAAAACAGACAGTAACTCAGCAAGGCATTCTTGTTGCGATAATTGTCTCTGAAAGTTGTAATAAATTATGGGGCGAAAATGTTCTCGGTTGAGTTCCATAAGTTTACTAAAGAGTGAGGTTAAGATTCAGTACTGGCGTTCGATCGGCGCGGCCTACTATGTTTCTATATGCAAAACTTAAAAGACATCCCTCGTATTTGATATATCGATATTCCTGCTATAGATGTTCGAGACACTGCATTATACGTGAAAGATATATAAAAGAGTGATGTTACATACATATGCATTGTAAAATGGTTTTGATGTCTTATATTGACATTATGTATACTTAGGGACCAGCTTTATACTAAATATACAGGATTCTTAGAATATAATACACGATTCAATGTTGTTAGGTAAAAATATTTGAACAGAGAATTGATAATAAGGTCATTAAAAAAAGGAGTATTTCCTACAGTAAAAAAGATCTGTTAATATATATGGTTTTATGTCGAATGTAAATTGTATGTGAGAACGTCTAAACACATCTTCTTTGATAATACGTTTATTAATGTTTATACCTTATTTAAACGGTATTTACACAGCGCCAAAATGCAAATGCGCAATACAACACCTTTATTAGCTTATTAATGTGTCTCCAAACGGCTGGCCAGTAGTAGCGGGACAATTTGCTCATGAAACACCAATGGTTTATTTTGCCGTAGCATATATTCTACCAGTATAGCGCTTAGTCAATTTTAGCTATACCTTTTAATCTTTTTATCGCTAGTACGATATTGTAAATATAATAATGTCATCACTTGAGCATCACTGTTTCCTCCTACTCACTTATTCACTTTCATAAGCGCGGAAAGGTAATTTTTTTCAGCGTACCAGAGAAAAATAGCAAGTATTTTCAATAGAAAAAAATACAAAGAATACGATAAAAGTAAACAATCTTCAATAGACTTACTCCTCCACAATAGCTTTTGCAGCATATGCACCTATAGTGATGAGGCTGCCATTGACCACACACGACAGTAGCTTCCTTTGGTACTCAGTGTCATCATTTCTTTGACGTGGGTTCTTCGTACTGTCCCTTCGATAGGCGGTGAAGTCAGGCGCTTTACAATCTCTATAGGTAAATCGTCTGGATAGCAATTCTGAAACCAGATACACATGTTATGTATTCTAAATGATTCATGAATCCTCTGAATACCCCCTGAACCTAAAATGGAGGAAGTGATTATAACTTGTAAAGTATTTAATTTAGCATTGAAACATCCTGGCCAACTAGTCCTGGTATGAATGTAATGAGTATTTACCAAACGTTTTTTACATTTATTCCAATCAAAAGTTTTAATTTATATTTCGACGATGATGTGATTACTTTGTAATGGAAAATTCAATATAAAGATGTCTAAAACATTCTTGTCACTGGATTGTTGATTATTCATTATTATAATTTTCTTTCCAACATTCCAAGTATCATGGATTTTTTCTTGCTCAAGGTACAAATTCTTCTTCAATGACTACGACCTACGTGTACGGTTCCTGATGTTTTTGTAATCATATTCACTCTTAAAAAAACATAAAAATTCAATAACATCACCTAAGCTGGATCGATTGCCAATTTTAGAAGCTTGTCGCAGGAACATTTTTACAGTATTTGTAATTTAATGTGACATGATACAGGAAAAATTTGACAGCTCCTGGATATTGTCCATCATGATGAATCGCGCTTGACCTTTATACTTTATTTTCAGAAATATGATGTAGTTCCTGCATATATACCTTATCTTTATTTTCAAATATTAATACATGCCCATGAGCAAACTATCATTCAAAAGATTCGTTCTGAAAACATCGTCTTCGCCCATCCCAAAGGTATCTTGACATTTAGATCAATAACTTTATTTTAGGTTAGTTAAATGTCAAAGACGTAAACAAATATTATACTCTGGAAAATTCAAATATTTAAAAAGTACTAAATATAATTATGAGTAAACGGAAAGCTACTTCAAGCGAAAGCAATCCCAATCATGACTTCTGTGAATTTTTAGAAGGTAGGTAAGGATTAATATGGTAGAAAACCAATAAGTTTGTTATTACCGAATCAGTTTATTTTGTGCAGAGCTGTCAGAATATGAAAAGAACGTTTCGCGAAACATCCACAAATACAATGCTTATAGAAAAGCAGCATCAGTTTTGGCCCAACACCCAACACGCATCACTTCGGGCGACGAGGCTAAAAAACTAAAAGGAATTGGTGAAAAAATTGCAAAGAAGATTGACGAATATTTGGCCACTGGCAAATTGCGTAAACTTGAAAATGTAAGTTCATTAGTCAAAAGAAAGCCTTGTTAATTGTAGAAAAAGCTTTTAACCACTTTTGCTCAAGACTGTAAACACTGGTAAAGTATTGTGGATATGCAGAATATACTTTCTCATTGCCAGATACCATTCATAGAGACTTTTTAAAACTGAATTGATACTTTCTTTGCAACCCAATATAGATTCACAGTGATGCAAAAAGTATGGCGATAAATCTTCTTAGCAGGGTGAGTGGCATAGGGCCTGCCAAAGCCCAAAGCTTGGTGGATGATGGTATTATGACTATAGATGATTTGAAAAAGCATACTGACAAATTAACTCATCATCAAATTATCGGATTGAAGTGAGTTATCATATAGAACTGAATACTCTTCTTAGACATTTACAAACTGGTGTGATTATGGTAGCTCACATACATATGCTAGAATGAACGTCCCATATATTTCTATAGTTTTTATATTGGCTTTGCAATTCATCAGATTGCATACTGTGATCCTTATTGCACCAGTTTATGATGGTCAATTAGAATAACCAGTATTCAACAAATTTTTGTCTAGATACTTTGAAGATTTTGAGGAAAAAATTCCTAGATCAGAAATCGAACAAATAGAACAAGTGATCAAGAAAGTACTCTATAATTTAGACTCAGAATATGAAGTGACTATATGTGGCAGTTATAGGTAAAATTTTAATGTACTGTATGACAAATGAAGAACATGCCCATGCATTTTCAGGAGAGGGAGGCAAGAAAGTGGTGATATTGACACTTTGATAACTCATAGAGATCTTTACGGTTGCAGAATTGACAAAAAGCACAAGAGTAATATGTTAAAAAATATTGTGAAGGTTTTGGAAAAATGTGAATTGGTGAAAGAAACACTTTCTCTAGGGGAAACAAAGTTTATGGTATGTAGCAAAGCAATGCTAAATATCTTATCCTGTACACATATTCCATATATATGATAATTAGTATGGTTGAAGATGCACATTTTTAGGGGGCATGCCAACTTAAAGGCCATCCAATGAGAAGACTAGACATTCGGTTGATACCACATGACCAGTATTATTGTGCTGTACTATATTTTACTGGCTCTAATATTTTCAATCAAAATATGCGAGCGCATGCACAAGAGCATGGTTTTACACTTAACGAGTATTCACTGCGGCCTGTTGGCATCACAGGTAAAAGAAATTAATGGCACAAAAATCATTATCATATTTTTGGAGATCCTGCAGAGGTGTAAGGAGAGGGTTTGCAGTGCTCGCTTAAAAATTGTTCGGGACCCGGTCATATTTCGACAACTTATTGATACACGATTTTTCCATATAGTTTGGAAAGGGGCTGCAATATTTCCCAAGAATACCTTAAATGCATTATGAAATCCACATACGTTTTTTGAATTCTCCATAATTTTTGGCAGTTGTGAAATATCTTTTGTATCAAAATAGTTAAAAATTCGATGTTTGATTTTTTTTGATAAGGAAGAATTGATGAAATTTTGAAATACAGAAACAATCTTTTGATTGCTGGACACGTGTTTGACAATGTCTGCTCTTGAATCGTGTCGCCTACTTTGGTGAAGGAAGCGAAACAATCAGCAACATCTAAAAAATTAAGTTTCGGTTTCCAGGTAATTTTGGTTTTCACCATTTCAATTCAAGGATTTAGAATAGTGTTGGTAGGTATAGCGAATTCATCAGCTTGATAAGTCTCACAAATTTGCTTCTTTTAGATAATGGTTCATAAATAAGCATGTGTTCCATAAGCAAATACTATGAAAATATCCTCTGGAAATTGATTACAGGTGTACCTGGTGAACCCGTGGAAATAAATGCGGAAGAAGATGTTTTTGACTACATCGATTATCCTTATAAAAAACCGGAAAATAGAGACAGTTAAATGATGTTGATATATCATTCGAATTCTATGTACCTTGATCTTTTGTTTTGTTTTTAAAAACATATTTAATGTTAAATAAAGATTAATTGATCCTATAGCATGTGGAGATTAGATTGTTTATACAATATTCATGGATTAAACTCGATTTTAAGTAAACAGAAATGCGATATCATCTGTTTGATGCGATGCAGGAAGTTCAATGCATACTCAAATATTAGTTGATAAAAATAAAACTTCTTCACAGCAAGCTAAATTTATTTGCCCATTGATACATAAAAATAACTTATATTTTTGTCTTAATGATAAAACACAATTATAGGGTGCATGACCTCTTTGGTGTAAATCCATAAAATCTTGATATTATGAGAATTCTCTTTGCATTAAATGTTATTCGGAAACATTTTCCATTTTGATAAAACAATCAGCTGCATTCGGGTTAATTCTAAAAAGGCCAGCTGATGTTATATTAGTATTTTTTTGTGGAAATGTGCTTAACCTGTGCAATGGATTATGCACCAAATTGGCCTTACAATATCCATGTACATATACTTAAAACAGCATAATAACAAATTAGGTCCCATAAACGGATGTTACCTCCCAAATCCTTTTTAACTCTATCCACAAACATGTCACCAACATATTCTACCAAACCTACAAAACTAAGCTATTAAAACATGAACATGCAGACAAACCTATATTACACTAACTCATGGAGTTACACTAGTTTTATGTGTGCTTGATTGATAATGTCACTGTTCACTTTTCCTTAAAACGATGCTTTTGGCAGGACTATAGGTATTACATACAATACAACGAAAAATGTAAAGAAAACAAATATCGCAAACTGATAATTGATTACTATGCTAATAAGATAGTATACTCATGCAACGATGTAAGATTTATCTTTTTATCCTTATAAATAATAGCTAATTGAGCAATCAAGTGCTTGATAAAATAATTTTGGTAAGTCAATTAGAAACAATTTTTTTATCTGTGTTGGTGACCTAAATATTATTTTTACCAGCACCACTATTAAAAAATTTGAATATTATCATACCATTTCGTAGATACATTTTTGTTTAGTAATTTAAATTAATTTACGATAAAGACCAACCAGTTTAACAGCATAAATACACATTAGATTTCACTGCTTTTAATGTTGGAATGTTTATAAGAATATCACATGGTTGTGGTAGAAGTGTAACAAAAAGCCATTTTTAAATAAACGATACTCTTTTAACATCTTGAACATAATATCAAAATATAAATATATTCGAACTTTCTGAAGATTTATGGATATGTGATGTTGATCCCGATTATCAAAATAATTGTAATTGTTTTTCATGAAACATAAATTTCATCCTACTAAATGCATCTCAAATTCATATACCTTGCATCTTTTTCTTAGACATTTTCCATTTAACCTTGTCAAAAAAATCTTTCTTCTTACTCCTTTGTGATCCTTTGGTTAAAATTGCACAAAATATTCCATTATGGTATTAATTTTTTTTCAGTTTCTGATGCTAGGTGAATTAACTGATATTGAAATGCATAAGGTTCTCTGGATTTATGAAGCTACACATACAACTATACATTTCACACTCATTCACAAGCCTTCAAAGTCTTCTCAAAGTCAAAAAAGAAAACATACATATGTAAAATATGAACTAATAAAACATCGAATTATGTTAACAAAATTACTTTCTAAATTTCAGGATATTTAAACTACATATTTACCCCAGTATTCCACTTTCAATGTGAATTCAGCAGTATTAAATGCCATCACAGCTAAACAAAGTTAGAAAACAAAAAATTCTATGACTTTTAAGGGAAACATTATCAGAAAGTCCCTCTAGACTTCTTCAAGTTTGTGGTTTCTGAAAATTGATAACAAATTTTGTCAATACAAAATTTCAAGTGTTGTTTTGATGGAATTTTGAACTAAAATTAACAAATATCTTAGTGTTATTTGGGGCATCATGGTCCAGGAAAAACAGATATGAAATATTTACACTAGATTCATGTCCAATTTCACTGTGATAATAATTAAATCATACCTAAGCATATTCTTCATCTGGTAACTGAATGTAGTTCATTTGTTGTTTATCATTTTTACATCTTTTAATACATATGAATAAAGCTATCGTAAACAGAGCCATGTTTAACAACACAACGCCTGCAATATAGAACATAGTTTCACCAAAAACGTTGATAGGAACAGAAATTTTACATTCCTCGTCCCATTGGTCCAAGGATATCGTGACAGGTTTCAGGATTGAGATGAAATCTGTTAGACTGCAATTTATCTGAAAAAAGGAAACACACCTTAACACATGGATTTGACAGAAAGAAAATTTGGTTACATGGCATCCACTTTCACCATTATAAACTAAGCATTAGACAGTGAGAACTGTAGTAATAAACATGTATACTTCATTTTCTCGAAAACGCATCAGCAAATTCTCAATAGCATCTAGATGGTGCGGGTTTATTGCATTTTACAACATGAGCGTCTTTTGAATTTGAATTATTTTTGACTGAAATTGCCCACTCAGTTCCTGAGATATCTCTTAACACTTACATGGGCTCTTATGGGAAAACTGAGTTTTCCTATATTATTTAAACTTTCATATGAAACTTCATAGAAACATTAAAAAACGGATCAAATAAAGCTTGCAGAGCATTGAGACGTTCGTAAAAAATTGCAAAATTGGAAGGTCATAATCTCATTTCAGTTTTTGAAATATTGAGCAAGAAAGCTGATTAATACTTAGTTTCTGTCATGACCAGTAGGAAAGCCGAGTACAGTTCTAGTAAAGTCCGATTTGATTACAGCTAGATACTGTGGGTGATTGTCCGGCGTTCAGCAAGATAGTATGTTCAGAAAAACTGCTGTCCGAGGTTTTGGTGATATTTACATAATAAAGAGAACTCTGCTTGCACTTACCTGACATCCCTTCAAACGTATCTCCCTCGGCTCACTGGTGTTTTTATAGAACATGCTGAGATAGTACGTGTCATCCTCCTTAGCCCTCATTTCCATCAAGATGGTGCTGGTGTATGGTGGCGCGTGGTACTCGAATGCACCCATTGTGTTGAGAACGTTGGCAATGGTGGTATCGTGGCCGGAGAAAATCATGAACTTCGGTGTGTTGGGGTCTTTCACGGTGTGGTTTTTGAAGTAGGTGGTGATGAAGTTGAAAAGAGGACCAGTTTTGAATCGCTGAAGAGCAGGGGTGTAGGCTTGTGTGGCGAAGCTGAGGAACGCCCAAGGACGCAGCTTTTCAGGGTACACCGATCTCGTCCAATCGGGGAGAGTGAAGTTATTTACTGTCTCTGATAGAAAGGATAGGGCTGTGTTAGTTAAATCTATAGCTCCCATAAATCAATACAAACTCTACAAATCGCCTACACATCAAATAGAAGATTCTTTGATCGTATTTGAAAAGTTTCTTGAAATCGAAAACAAAAATATAGTATTATCTGGATTTTTTATTTAAAAGAAAACCGCGTCAACCCTGTAGGGCGGCGGCGTACTCTCCACATTTTTGTTTTTAATAGCTGAGAAGATATTTACATTTATTTTTTAAAGTTGATATAGTGATGCAGTTAATCTTCGTTTTTTTTTGTCGTGGAAACGTTAAACTGTAAATGAAAGCTAGTAAAGGTTATTTTTTACATCGGGTGGAAGTCAGACCCCCACGGCAAAAGTAGGGTCACATGTTAAAGAAACTTATTATTGCATCGTTAGAGATTCACAACTTTGGTATGTAATTTTACGCTTGAACGCTAAAGGACAAGTTTTGTCATTTCTCGTTCGTAGTCAAAGTCAAAATATTTAGAATATACTTTTTGGGGTACAAATACTGATATTTTTTCGAAATGAAATTTCATCCTTGCATTCTTTTTTGTCCACATCTTGTAGAGTATCACTCGTTGTTCTTGTGACAGTAACATTGTAGTCTGGATATCCCATAGGTAAAAAGTCAAATGTTTTCAAAGTTGCTCTATATCAGTAATCTCAAAATATTTTGCAAAGATGTTAGGTATTTTGACTGTGAATATAAGTTGAGATAACAGTAATGCTAATTATATGTTGTTTACAATGTATGTATATTTCATTCGTACTCTGAGATATTTGCATCCATAAATAAAAACATTTCATTCCAAAACAAATGTACAAGTATTGTGATTCGACTATTATGTTGAGAACCCATTTAAAAACAATAGAGACTAAAAGATAAGATATTTCAATGCCATATGCCCTCCTAAAATATTTGGACCTGTCACAATGAAAAAAATTCGTGATTCAAAGGAGAAGGAGAAAACATTAATTTCGACCTAGCCAGATAACATCTGACTTTTACCCTCATTACCACAAAGTAGTAATTTTCAATTGTGTTTATTGATTTTCTTGATGTACACCATAAAACAATAAAAATGTATGTCATCAGATCATCGGAACTCAAAAATAATTTTTTAACGTACATTAACATTAATTACCTATGGTCAGTGTGCTGTATAGATACTCCAACCTTTCCAGTGAGTTGATATGGTCCCCAGAATATCTTGATAGATATGCGTACAAGTCATGGTTTTGTCGAGTTATATTTCTGAAAATTAATAAACCATTGAAGCAGAAAGTAGGAACCCTATTTTCTAAATGTAACTATAAGTATATAAATATTGATCTCTGATGTAAGTTTTCCATCAAAAAGTTCATAAATATGTTAAAGAGTTTTTCATAGCTGGCTTATGCAACAGAGATTTCTTAGTGGAAGCCAACTACACAATAATGTGTCCACTATCTTTGTAGTTGTAGCTGTAGAAAATTGATCTCCAAAGAAGCTACAAGATAACTCACAGTTGACGTCCTGGGCATATAATCAAACTAGGAAGTATCTCATAGTCGGCAGCCAACATATCAACAAAAATGCTATAAACCAGATTTTGCAACCTATACGATCTAAATCATAAGCATTACCAAAATAATTAAATAAAGTCAACTCACTGTTATATTTGAAAAATTTGTTAAAAACCATTCTGCTGCTATAACAGAAAAGCTATACAAATTATACATTCGACCAAAACCTAAACAAGCACACAGCATATGGAGTCCCTATTTTGTTAAAGACTGGAATGGGTACAACGTAAAATAACGCGAATTCTATCTGAGATTCGACATTTGCCGTATGAACAACGTCTAACGACTAAGACATTAAAAATCATCAGTGGCTGCTACCCATGTACCATTCAAATCTTCAGTACGAGTCAGAAATTTCATCTCTGAGGGTATACTTAAAAATTAGGAAACGAGAGAATATCTAAGTTGATAAGGAGAAATTTTATACTCGTGAAACTGTTAGTGCAGAAACCGCGAGTGCAAAAACTACCAATTCATTCAAGAATAAGCTGGATAAGGAAGTAGAACACTGTGAAGAAAAAGGGCTTTACACTATTATGCCATTAGACTCTTTCTGTAATCATAAAACTAACCACATATCTTATGATAGAATGATGGTTATGTTCAGTAGCAATAGCTGCGTGAGGTATGGTTTGATAGATGTCATCTGAATGGGCCGGTTTAAATTTTTTAAAACCTTCAGGTTGACAAAAGTCAGTAGGTATGTGAAATAGGATATCATGAGCTGTGCTAGTTGTCAGCAGATTCAGGTGATGGAGAATGATGTTCAACAACCAATCATTACTACAACGCTTAAGAGATATGTAACTTCAAATCAGTAAAATGAATGAAACATACCTGAAATAATCAGAAGATAGAAGTTTCTTCAAAAGCATCTCGTATTGAGCGCAAGGTTTCTTGCCTGCCAAAAGTGCATCTTCACGCTCTGGCATAGTATGTACTGGGATTGGTTGCCATTTCAGGTTTGTATCCCACATTTGACTGGAAGTGGGGGGATACAATCCAGCAAGATTGGCCTCGGCAGACATTAGCGTACGATCTACGTCAGTAGAACGTACGTAGATATCTTTTTCAGAGTATTCTTTTGGTAGAAAGTTGTCGTAACGTTGCCGGAGCCATTGACCTAATTCTTTCTGTTGTTGTTTACCGCGCTGAAATTGGACATATTTTGAAGAAATTTTTGTGAACAGAATGTTTCAAATTTTAAAAACTACTGAATATTTTTCTGCATCTAGGGATTCATTTGGATTAAAAATAAATAATTACTAGCTTTTAGTTTAAAGTTGTAGATGTATATTTTGTGTTGTCTCCAAATGGTTTCACACATAAGTTAAACAAGGTATACAAGATTTCTCAATCTTCAAAATGACAACAAATGTTCACATGGACTTTCAGATACAAGCTAAATATTTTGACTAGATGATTATATTTCATATGTGTATCTAGAACAAATGAGAACCTTTGGGTTATTACAATTTGCTATACTTAAGTATGGTTCATTACAAGACTCAGCATTCAGCTCAAAACATCTTTTATCAATAACAAAAGTAAAGTTCAGGACTGATTTTGTCTACATTCCTATAATTATATGATGAATAAAAAATAAATAGTGTATCTTATTGTCTAATGATAATAAGGAAACAGTATAGCTCACTTAAACATAGATAAACTGTGGGATTCAAGGTGTTCTATTTAGAGGTATTCTGAACAACAAAAAAATCTTTGCAAACATTAAATCAGTAATTTCGTAATTTAATATGCTTTCACATTGAGCTGTCAAAAGAACATTGCATGAAGGTCAAGATTGACTGATTGTAGAAATTTAGGAAATATGATTACATTTTTCATAAAATGCAATATAACTTGAACATGGTTTTAAGCATAATAAAGATCTTTCATTACAAAAATGATGACTAGTAGATTTACTGTGCACTTTCCACACACTGCTGTCATCAGCGATTATATTTGGCACAAGTTAACCCCTCTGAGGAAGGTTAGCTTCCAACAGATGTACAACAAAAGAATTAAATGGATAAAATCAGGTGGGTACATTAGTCTATAATCCCCACCCTTCAACATTACTGAACCACACCACCAATAAAAGCCAAGCAGAACTTTCCAAGTTATAGAGGGGCCAAGGATTAGCATACAGATCAACATACTGACAGACTGAAAGCAATAAGTGGCATGGTTTTTCATGATATACATGTCACACGCAAAGCAATTACAAAATGAGAAGTGAAAAGGAGTCAGTAAAGATTGAGGTAAAATTCATATAAATGAAATTGCAAAAATCCATCATCTTAACATGTATACTTACATTTGTCAGTTGTCCAAAACCTACTTGCCAAAAAGATTCATTTCCATATGGGTCGCTGGGATAAGGTTTAATGGGGGTTCTATCACCATGTCGGTAAATCTGGAAAATATTTTGAGAACTATGAATGATACTAATGAAATTAATCTCAAAGACATAGTTATAAGTTATTACTGATAATGTGTTCACTATATTTGAAATTAAAGCAAATATAGGCTTATGAGAAGTTATCTTAGTTACACAATTTAATAAATACTTTCTAAATAAGGGATACATCTCAAATTGCTGATAGTTTGATTATAAAAATAATAATAATTTATGTCAGTTTATGTTCTTAAAAACTAAAGTCTATCACAGTTTGTCTGGCAAATAATATAGATATTCAGTAATACATGTGATACATCCTCATGGAATTAACTGTGTTGGAGCTGTCTTTAACAGAATATCATAAACATATTTTATTAATACTAAGGGTATTTTTTGCTATCTAGCAATTCTATGTAACTCATTAAACTGATTATATTTGCTAAAATAATAACATTGAGGAACATTATTTAAGTTGATGAATATTAGAGAGAAAGGGTATGTTATTCCTTTGAGATGTCTTAGAGATAAAGGTGATGGAAAATACATACTACATATAAGTTAGTAGTTTTCCTTTAGTAAAATCATAGTTTATGATGTAATATGCTTAAAAAGCTACAAGGTTTATGTACAACAAAAAGCTTTGTAGGGGTCCCTGGTGCATTGGAAGCTTGGTGCTTATGGCTGAAGGAGCCCCAGGACAGAGCAAAATATGGGGCCCCACTTTACTGTTTGGTAAAATTAAAAAATGGGAGAGGCTACTCACACATTTTTTTAATTTCGAGCATGTGGAGCTCCACGAGCTCACAGGATAAAGATGGAATAGCCTTCATGAATCGCTTGGTCCTCGGTACTTATCCAAAAGGACCAAGGAGTTTGGGCAGCTTCTATACTGTACATTGACACATCATGCTTTTATACTTACCACGATAACAGCCGTGAGGTCGTCTTCTTTAGCAGAAACACTACCAATGAATATACAAATGCAAACTTGAATAAATACACTGATCAGCATTCTGTTTATCAAAAGCATTGTTGCGTAAAATTATTAGGAAATTAGGAACCTATAACATATGCTACCTCTAACCTAGTCTTCATTCACAGCCATCAGCCAAACTGAAATTGTTTATCTCAGCAAATGCTCATAATTGCCGCCAAATCATCTTTTAATTATATTACAAATAAACAACTACTTCTAACCTAAACACATGCACTCTGATAACAACACGCCATCAGCTGAAGAAAAATGAATCACTATTTTGTTTATTATCAAAGGAACCAACCAATTAATCGTCTCGGCTATGTTAGCGGACTACAACCCGAACACGTTCTTGATAGGTAAATAAGAGCATCTTTCAATTTTGTCAGCCAATAAGAAAGAAGAACTGGTATTCGTCATAGTCACGTGTCCGCGTATCTTATCTGAACGTATTCGCAATAATGCCCCACGAACACAACTATTATCTGCGTACTTGGCGCCATCTGTGAATGAATGTTTTAGTTACTTTGTGTTTTAAAATAGTAAACTTTCGTGTATTTGTGTAGAA